GTCCAATTCTGCAGCACTCACCACCAGGCAGTGCAGTCCTCCTTATCCACCACTCTCTTCTATTGCTGGCTCTCTGTGGATGCTTCTGGGGTTTCCAGCAGTGTTATGGTTTGTGTCTGGGTGTCCCCCCAAAGCCTCATGCGGCCATGGGGCAGGCTTTTAGAGTTTGATTGATTATGGGTGTGAGAGCTGCACCCGCCCTGGGGTGGATAGTTTGCACATGTAAGGGAGAGCAAGAGGCGCTTGCGGCCATTTCCTGGCTTTTGTGCCTGTTGCTTTGCTGTGTTCTGCCGCCATGAGCTGTAGCTCTCTGCCATGTGCCAGTCTGCCTTGTAATCTGCCAAGTATGGACTGAAACCTCCACAAACTGTAAGCGAAATAAACCTTTCCTTCCTTAAATTTGGGCATCAGGTATTTTGTCCCAGCGAGAGAAAAGTAACCAAGACAAGCAGTCACTGTGTGTCTGCTGGTTTGAACTGCTCCTCCCACGCAGTGAGTCCTGCCTCAGGGAGAAGGCGCAGCCTGCTACCTTGTTCTTCTATGTTGAAGTTTCTTCGCTCTCCCCATGGGCTTCATTTCGTGCTTCAGATCCTTCCTGAGTCCAGATGTCTCACTTTGCATCTTCTTCTCTTCCTCATGTTCCTATATTCCAGCGTCTAGACAGAAAATCTCGGAGAGGCTCCTCTGCTGCTTACCACCCCACCATCTTCCTAGAAGTCCTGGATCTGAGTGGTTCCTGAAGTTGAAATAAGGAACTTCACCCATCCTTTTGTAGGTTTGCTGGCTCCTGTTGTGGAGAAAGAATTTTCAGGCTGCATCACTAAGGCCTGGGAAGGGTTCACTAGACCGAAATTTAGGATGCACTGAAGAATGACGTGTAGGTGCTCAGAGAAATGCGGTGCATTACAGGTTGCAACTGGACACATTTATGCTTCTCTTGAAGGAGTGAAAAGCCTGGGAAAAAGATATCCCACTCCCCAGAACGGTACCAGCTTTTTCTATAGGTATGACATTGGGGGAGGGGATAGGTAATTTAAACATTCTTTGGGTTTGCTCAACCTGCTCCTTTATCTTAGGATCAGGCTCCTGCTCCTTGCTTTCTCAATTATGAGGAGTTACAGACTTTGTCTTCCTGAGGAAACTGGGATGTGAAGGGTCTGGTAGGGAAGGGGCCTAAATTTAGCCAAAGGGATGCCGATATGGCTTGTCCTGGGGAACGTTGGTTGTGTCCTGCAAGTTGCGGTACCATTTTTTTATTATGATTTATTTGTCTCCTTTCTACTTAGCTTTTATTTCTTGTGTCATATCTCTGTTTCTGGATTGGTTTGTTCCAGAATGTTCTCAGGACTGCTTTTGTAAACAAGAATGGGTTAGAGAGACTGTCAGCTTCTAACTGGTTCTTCTACTTGGCAGAAGTTGCGTTAGGTAACTGATATCCCTCATGGTTTATTATGTAGAGAAGTGGGAACAACTTAAAAGTTTCTTAGAAATTATCTCATAAAAGTGCATCTGAGGGCTTTCCAAGTCCATGAGAAGGAATGGACCATTTTGTGGCTGAGTAAACAATGTCCAGCCATGCTGTACTTCTTTCTAATTTCCTGAAAAAGCTGGGTCCATGTTCCCATGGGTAATATCTTCCTCGACTCTGGAACGATGGAGCCAGGAGGCACTGGAGTATTTCTCCTTCAGTTCTTGGAGCTTTCTAAGTCTCCTGAGCTTTGTCCTTTTAAATGCCTTTAACTAGCAAACTTCCTTTTGTAGTCTTCCAGGTCCCTGGCGGGCATCCTTATTATTCAGGGTCGTTTGCTTTTGGTGATATGAGAATTTGATTTAAAAATAATTCACTTGGGTCAGTATAGCAAAAGCCCCAAAAAACTGTTCAAAGATTTTAAAATAGTTTTCTGTCGCAGAACCGGCTTCCTCCTGTGCTGTAATGTGGGTCCTTGTTTTGGGACAAGGAAGGTGGAAGCTGACGAAACAGCCAGCAGCAAGCGATGAGGAACAACTCGGTGTATGTCTAATAGAAAGCATAAAACGGGAAGCTCCCCGCGTGGTCTGCAAGGCTGACACCATGGATATTTAAGTCCTTTGGCTTTTTATACAGTTTTTGGTACAAGTGAACGGGACAGAAAGCGGGGATGCTCCTGGTTGCAGGCTGGCTTTTGATGTCTAGAAAGCAGACTGCTTCATTGTGTTCACTCCCTCCAAGGTCTCTCCCATGTGTATAGGGACCTGTTCTTTGTCTTTTGCATTCCATGAGGCCCCTGCTACTCATTTTGCTTAAGTTAAATTATTCCAGTCCTCTGCTATGTCAACTCAATCCCAGACTTTTAGTTCAGGTTAACTATTCTGGATCTGCGCCCTATCTTCTGCCTTCAGCAGCCCGTGTAACTGCAATTTCCAGCTATTAATCACAACTTTGAGAGCTATTTTTCCTCTGCAAAAGGAAAAAAAAAAAAAAAAAAAAAAAAAACTGTTTTGGGACATTCATTTGTGTTTACAAGATGTTTTACATCTTATGGACAATGTAGAGGTAACTTAAAAGTTAGATGGGTATGTAAATAAGACATCTGAGTTATTCATAATTAAGTTAAAATAGTAAAGATATTTGCCAGGCGTGGTGGTGCACACCTATAATCCCAGCACTTGGGAGGGAGGCTGAGGCAGAAGGATTGTTGTAAGTTCGAGACCAGCCTGGGCTACAAAGTGAGATCAAGGCCAGCCTGAACTGCATAGCGAGACCCTATCTCAAAAAGACAAAAAAAAAAAAAAAAAATCCTAAAGACATTTGCTAAGTATAAATTCATGAATTCTTTCTAAGTATTCTAAGTATAATTCATGAATGCTTCTTGCAATTTCTAAATGCTAATGTATTTGAGTCTATATGTCCATATATATATCTGTAAAACACTGATATAAGATCAAAAGATATCTTGTCCTTTAAGAAGTTTCAAAGTAACTATTCCAGAGGAACAGTAAATATCTACAAATGGAATCTTTTGTCAAACTATAGCTCAAATTAAAAATGAGATTAAAGCTGGGTGTGGTGGTACACGCCTGTAATCCTAGCACTTGGGAGGCTGAGGCAGGAGGATCACTGTGAGTTTGAGGCCAGCCTGGGCTACATAGTGAGTTCATGGCTGGCTTGCACTACATAGTGAGACCCTGTCTCAAAGAAACCAACACCAAAACCAAAAACACAACAAAAGGAGCTTTAACTAATAAGTCTCGAAGTCATTAAGGTTGTACCTGTTTATCATTTTAAGGTATTCTAAAGTTAATAATTTGTATTCACATAACTTATTTAATATTCTCGTAAAAGTTGATTTTAAGGAAAGAAAAACTTGCTTAAATGGTTCACAGACTTACCTGGTCTATTAATGGGTTTGTTATGTGGCTTACCTGGATCCCTTAGTTCACCTACTCCTGCAGCGAGTGAATTCCTGTACCCGCAGGCATCTCAGTGGGAGACTCTGGGAGAGATTTCCAATGCTATTCGTTGCTCCCCTATGCTCACTTAGCTGCTGAAACAGGTATTCTTACCTTTTGCTGCCACTGGAATGTTGATCACCCTTAGGGCTTGGAGTTTTCACCGAAAATAATAGGTTTTCCTTATTTCTAAACCTTTGCTTCTACTTTGTGACCTAAGTCTTTATCCATCCCTAATGTCCGTTGTACTTGGGTGTCCCTTCTCCCACAGCCCTTGGCTGGCCATCTCTTAGGGGACTGGACATCAGACCCACTGCAGGGGTAGCTACTTTGGAAGAAGCTTTGTGGAAAAGGTTAGAGTCGGGTGTGGTTTAGACCCGAGGTGTCTCCCTAAGACTTGTGTACTGACAGCTTGGTCCCTAGTGCAGCAAGGCTCAGAAGTGGGTCTTAAAGAGGTGACTGGATCACAAGGGACCTGACTTCTTCAGTGGATTCATCCATTGGTGGATCCACAACTTGATGGCGTTGCTGGAAAAGATGAAGACTGAGGAGGTAAGGCCTGGCTGAAGGGGGTGGGCCATCAGGCTGTGCCCTTAGGCCCCCTTCCTTCTGGCACTTTCCTTGTCGGTCCCTTTGCTTTCTGACTGCCATGTAGTGAGCAGTCTTCCTCCACCTCACTCCTCCACGATGTCTCTGCCTTGCCACAGGACTACAAGCAACGGAGCCAGCTGACCATGGACTAAATCTCTGAAACCATAAACCAGAATCAATCTTCCCTTCAAGGTGATTGATGCCCAGTATTTCGTCACAGGGACGGCTAACATGGGGTCCTTTCATAGTTCTTCCACTACTGACTGAAAAAAGATTTTTCAAAAGCAACATGAGAATGCATCCTAGCTGATAGAGCCTGCACTCAGTCACGAGGTATGAAGAATGAAGGGCCGACGGGCTCACTTCTAAGCTGTTACTACTTAGGCTAGCGAATGTGAGCCTACGTACCAGCACTTAGTGCTGAATACCGCCAGTCCACACCGCAGGGCTTTCAGCTGGGGCGGGGAGGGCTTATTCTGCGGCAGTGAAGGTGCTGGGTCTGGGATGAGGACTCTTAGATAACTGTGTCTCTGGGGAGATGTGTTCTGGGCAAGTTGCTGAAGTATCAAAGCTTCCATTTCAATTACAAAATAAAGTTTGGACTAGATGTCCAAAGGACAGCATTCTACCTCTGACATTCTCCACTTCTGCAGACGAAAATTAGTCTAATGACATTATTAGATCTACCCAGCCCCTAAAAGCTTTAGAATGCTAATTCTTAACAAATTATAAATTGATACAAAGACAACCTTATATGGAAACAATATTCTTTTTGTTTTTAATTTTTTGAGACAGGTCTTGCTATATACTGTAGTTCAGGCTGGCCTTGAACTCACTATGTAGCCCTCAAACTTGCAGTGATCCTCCTGTCTCAGCCTCCTGAGTGCTGGGATTACAGGTGTGCACCCCTACTTCTTATTGTTAAAAGATACTTTTTTTTACAGTGTCCCATTCTCCATAAGAACAAGCTTCACGGCTGCTATGTGATCATTTAAATATATTTTATTAAGCTCTGACTTAAAAATGCAAGAGAAGAATATAACACCTCAGAGCAAATGCTTCAAGGTAAAACAAATATCACTATAAATATTGCACTTATAAAATCTCTTTTTTATGTCTTCACACAATTCTAAGATATCCTTTTACAGAGATGTACAAAGAAACTGCGCTCAAGCTGTCGGCAGGTTTTCAGCTGTCTGCTCTCTGTGCGGGCTCAGAACTTGCATCAGCGACATCACAGACCTACATGGTGTGAAGAGAGAAGCATTCCGGCCCTTCGGAACGCTCCCTGTTAAGGCGTGCGGGTTTTTTTGTCTACTTAGGGAAGACAGATCTTTCAAAGGCAACAACAGAAGGCGGCTTATACAGACACAGCTCACTGTTAACACTGCTTGTTTTTTAAAGCATTCAGCAGCTTCTGGTTCTTGGTCTTGAACATCATGACAAAGCTACTTGGCATGAGCTTCCCTTGCCCGTCTTCTCCCACTTGGCCCATAATGATGTAATTTAGACCTAGGGAAAGAAAATACAAAGCTTTTTTCTGTGTGCGTGTTCTCAGCAACAACTTAGACTACAACTCACCTCCAAATCAATTTTTTTTTCTATAAATGATATAATCACACACTTATTCTACCTAGGATAAATCACAAGGATTAGCACTCTTGAGAAAAAGGTTGGACTCAACTAGCAACCTGCTCTCGTTCTGCTAACTCCGTCCCACCCCTCTCTGCAGATGGTTCTCGAATCTTCGCTTCTAGCCCAGGTGTCACTTTCTCATCCAGGTTCAGAGCTGCCTTTCCTCTGCTTGCCGAATGCTTTCCTCTGAACACAGTATTGGCAACTGAAGTGCAATAATCTAGAATCTTCCTTGAACTGCTTTCTCAGTGTCTGTTCCCTATTGGTTTGACTATGTGCTCTGGGGCTCATTCATCATTTCTAGCTTTTTTTGTTTTTGTTTTTGGCACTGGAGATTGAACCCAGGGCCTTTGTGCTGAGCTATATCCCCAACTTGTAAAAATTTCTTATTTATTTTAGACAGGATCTTTGTAAGTCACTAAATTGACCAGGTTAGGCTCAAACTTTTGATCTTCCTGCCTCAGCCTCCCAGAGTACTGGGATGACAGATGTGCACCCCCACACCTGGCTTCCACCACCTCTTTTTGCACAAGGTGTAAGAACTAGGATATAGCATAGTTCTGCCTAGCTCAAAGGCTCCCTTTCCTACCACACATGGGGGTTATCTTAGTCCTGGTGTCACTTCCCTATACCAGCCGTGGCCTGGAAAGATCCCTGACTTCCTCAGAGATCCTCTCTCCTTCCTGTCCCTGCCTCTGCGCTCCCCCGGAAGGGAAAGCTTTTCTCCTTACCTCGTCTGAGGAGAGGGCACTGCCTGCAGACCACGGTAACCTTGGCACTCATGTTCTTGCCGGCCTGCTGGATTGCCAGGTTCCCCTCTTTGTAGATGTTGATGATTGAGATCGTGGCCTGCAAACTCTCACCCCGAATGGCGGTCGTGATAACAGCGCCGACTAACACTGCAGGGGAACACGCAGGGATGACCCGACAGTGAAGCGAAGGCGAGCAGAACAGAAAAGAGCTTTATCTTCTAGTTTTCAGAAATGAAACATTTTAATGTGAGAGAAAAAGCCCTCACGGAGCCCTCGAAGTTGATTCCCAAAATTTAGGTTGGAAAAAAGGCTCAAGCAGTTGTACTATTACCCTGGGTGTTGCTGGTAACTCGGACAGAAACCTAAAATCCTGTCTCCCTGCTTGTCCTTTGCAACATACGGGTCACATACAGAATAAGCTCATGAGAGCACTCAAGACTTTGAAGCTTTAGAGGCAACACCACAGGAGGGGTCTGAATCGCAGGGGTGTCTGTGTCTGTGCGGCTGAGCGTCTGTCCCGTGTCTGGTCCCCACGCCACTCCACCGTCCTCTCGAGCGTTTGTTCCCTCGGAGGCAGGAGGCACATCTCTCTCTAGTAATCAGAAACTCTCTGTCTCGCTTTTCTGTATCACCTTTCTCTTCTACCCTGTTTGTCTCATTTCAAAGTATAGACCCGAAGTAATCCTCAAAATATTTTCTTGTGCTTAAAAAAAAACTAGCAAAATTCAGTTGATTTCCCTCATATAACTTTTTTCTTCCCACGTGACAAAGAAAACAGCCTTCTGAGCCACACGGAAAAATGCCGTCTTTCTTGAAGGGCCCCGGCATGCTGCTGGCATTTTAGGAGGTTGAGGGCACAATTCTTGCAGAGTGGGGCTTGCACTGAGTGACTTTTTTACCAGCTGTGTCCTTGTCAAGAAAAAAAAATCAGCATAGCCCGTCAGTTATTGAGACAACCAAAAACTGCCCCAGGAAGTGTTACCGACTCTGGGTAGAAGCCTCTGGGCCACGGGTGATGGCACCTGGCCACGGTGCCACAGAAATGAATCACAAGTAACGGGAGAGGTCAAGTTCTGGACTGGCCTAAGACGACCCCTTGCAGACAAAGTGCGCACGCACGGCTTAGGCAGTGTCCGAGCTCCTGAAATCTCAGTTCTTACTGTGTCTCACTCTGATTCATGGCGATGAGTGTTCACGGCAGAAGGTCAGTCTATAGCCAGGTGAAGTCAGGAGGCCCACAAAGGCACAGGTGGGCGATTTCCTGCACCACCTGCTACAGCAGGCTCACCTGGACATGGTAGCAATGACATCTGGCACTATGTGCTTTCACTTTCATGCCAGACATGTTGATTTCAGCATGCAAAGTGCAGTAAAAGCGAGGGCCCCAGACTCCTCAGTGTATCTGCATTTTCACGCCAAGATACCCTACTGGGCTGCCAAAGTTACCACTTTAAGGCCCCCAAAAGCAAAGAAGACCTCTCTGGGGAGGCCTTTTGTTTTGGGTAAACTGCTATAGCAACATTCTTTTGCTGAGAAGACTTCTACTTCAATGTTAATTTTAAGCTGCTTTAAAAAATAACCAACATAACCAAATTGAGTATCTTTTGCTCTTAAGTAGTTTTCACAGAGTGAAATCTTTTTAATTTCATGAAGTACAATCTCCTCAGGTTCCAATTTCTAAGAGCTTCCAAAAACGGACTTCAGATTTCCAGGTTTTAATTTAATACTCTGGAAAAACCCCAAAGAGGAAATACTTGAATTTCTTGAGAGAGGCCAGCTTCTGAACGTAAGCTTGGCTATGTTTCTAATGTACTTCAGTTGAATTACAGATGTGTGAAAATGCACTTGGAACATGAAAAATAGGTGAGGAACAAAGGAAGTGGGTATTTTCAGGAATAGTTAACAGGCTACTGAGTAGCAGTATCATGGATCTAGAATCAAATTATTGAAGTGATGTGGAAAAAATCAAATTTTCTGAATACTTGTTTTTCTCGCCTATGAAATCTAATAGTTGGAATAGCACAACACAACCTAGTGTCTGTTTTCTGGGGTAAATGAACAGCGTTACTGACCCTTCACTGTTAAATTCGTGGGAATTCCTTTGAGACCAAGCAGGCAGTCTTGAGTTTCTGATTAAAGAGAAAAGCCCGGTTTTATTTCTTACCAAAGTTGTTTGAACAATAATTGCTCTCCAGAGTTCCCGTCCGTCTACACTTCTGCTGACACAGGGCCACTGTTGGTTTCAAACCTTAATTCAAAGAAGACACAACAGTCAGGAAAAGGAATCCAAGTATAATTGGTGTCTGCATCTGAATTTATCCATTTAAGATTACCATTTATTTCCCCGAGCCACAAATTAGTCACTGCAATGAAATAATTATAAACTATACAGAAGAAACTCTTCATGCTGCCAACTACTGCTCTAATTTCCTCAGGGTAACTCAATGCCCTCTACTGAATTTTAAACCTGAGATCAAAGATAATCCAAATTTAGCTGTTATCTTTTTCTTTTATATGAAACACTAACTAAAAATGGATGGTTTGCTTTGTGTGGTCTGCTTAGTAAAACCCAGGACAACAAATCTGAACCATAAAATATATGTCAATTCTTCACTTTTCAGAGGACTCCTATGGTGTCCCCTGAGGCTGGCAGGAGCTTTCTTGGTGCATTTAAAATACACAACTGCCTAAATGTGAGGAGCATAGGGTTTCCGAAACGCTTCTCACATGTAAAGTTATATCTGTAATTAGATGCGAGCACTCACTAAATATTTACTTTGAGCCTGGCACTGGCTGAAGGGTTTTAAGAACTGAGATGTAGATAAACTGAGAGATAAAAGGAAATAAATAAACACAATGGCTCTCAAGGAGAAGCAATTTTGCCCTCTAGCTGACATATGACAATATCTTTAAACATCCTGCCTGTCATAAGTAGGGGAGGAGCTAAAGACATGGTGTGAACAGATACTAGGGGTACTGCTAACCACTGTGCAGCAAGCAGAACAACAAATAATTATCTGGCCCCAAATGTAAATAGTGCCAAGGCTGAGAAAGGTTAGGTTACCATGAAGATACACAATCCCCATTATCATCTTATGAATGTTTTAGAAATATTTGCCACTTATTTAGGCCTACGTGTGGTGATATGCTAGAAGGAATGAAACAGAACAACTGCCTGCAATCACAACATGCTCTTCTAGTGTTTCTGCAGACCCCCCACAAATGTACTATTTACTTGTTTTTAATTTGGACCCTGACTGAGAGCAACACCAATGAAAGAGCGTCCTTTTGCGTGGCCCACGGAGGACCTGCTCCTGCTCCCCCTGCTCCTGCTCCCCCTGTTCCTGCACCTGCTTCCTCTGTTCCTGCACCTGCTCCCTCTGCTCCTGCTCCTCTTCCTACTGCTCCTTCTCCTGGTCCTCCTCCTCCTTCTGTGCTCCTCCTGCTCCTCCTGCTCCTGCTCCGCCCGTTCCTCCTGCTCCTTCTGCTCCTCCTGCTCCTCCTGCTCCTGCTCCTCCTGCCCCTGCTCCTCCTGCCCCTGCTCCTCCTCCTCCTGTTCCTCCTGCTCCTGCTCCTGTTGCTCCTGCTCCTCCTGCTCCTCCTGCTCCTGCTCCCCCTGCTCCTGCTCTCCCTGCTCCTGCTCCTGCGGAGGCCTGGACTCCCATACTGCTGCATTTGCCCTCTGCTGCTGTCTGTTCTCTGGCTTTGAGGTCAGTGCTGTGGCACCTTATTCGCCTCCTCTCCTGTCAGCTGCCTCTGCCCTGCATTCACACCCTCAGCCCTGGTTCCTCGGGCCCCTGTCCATGCATCCTGCGACAGTCCCAGTGGGGCCACCCTCCTCACAGATGGATTCTCAGTCCCAGGGCTTCATCTCAGCAGGGCCTTCCCTCTGCTTCAGCTTGGACACTCCTGGCCAGGCTCATCCGTCCTTGTGCTGAAGTTGTTCACTGCGTCTCTGAAGCTCAGACATCTTAGTACCCAGCACGGCCTCCGCCCCTTTGAGCTTATTTATTTAATAATAGCACCACTGCTTTCCCAGCAGCCTCTGGAGGTTCAGCACACTGACCTTTCTCCTTTCCCCAGCCATTAACCCTGGCTGGCTTTTATTGGATTAGTGATTGCATGTGGTTTCCACACTCTGTTACCTCATCTTCTTGACAGTCAGTATCCTCAGCTCCCATTCCCCTCTGGCCTTCAGTCCCCGGGGCTCCTGCAGGAGGAGCTGCCATTGCCTTTCAAATCTGTTCCCATAGTCCTGCCTCCTCCCTTACTGCGCTCAGCGGGTGACCTTGCCTCCTTTCCACAGAGAACAGAAAATGTCCTCACATCCACGCCGAACCTCCAGGTCGTCTTTATCCATGTCCTCCCTTCCTCTCCTCTCTGACAGAGGTGGTGGCCCTCTCCGGTCTGTAGCCCCTTTGCAAGTCCTCTGGAGCCAGCCCCCGCCCCCCACACCTTTCTCCTCGTCTACTGCATCGACCTGCCCTTGCGATCCCCTTCTTTGTGGCTCTCTCCCACCAACACGAACACGGTCAGCTGCCAAGGTCTCTTCCCTCCCTTTGGCCAGGACTGTGGTGGGAGTTGCTGGAACTCACTATCTCAGTCTCCTCACCTTGTTCAACTTGCTCCTCAGCCTGCTGTGGTCTCTGCCTGCCTGACACGGCTCACAAAGCCTCCACTCACAACGTCAAATGGAAAGGTTCAGTTTTCTCCCTGTCTGAAGGCTCATCCGCATGTGAATTCACTCATCATTCCTTTCTTCTCCTTCTTCCTTTTTATTTTGAAACAGGGTCTGGCTAAGTTGCTAAGTTGCCCAGGTTGGGCTCAGATTTATGATCCTCCTGCCTCAGCCTCCCAGAATGCTGGGATTAGAGTGCCGGCCACTCCCCTCTTAAAAGCATTGTCTTCCATGCAGCACATCTGGTTTTCCTTGCTCCTCCCCAGCCTCTCCTGTTCTGTCGACTCCTCTGTAGAAAGCCGCTGCCCCTAAAGGTTCAAGCCTGCTCCTCTCCTCCTGCGACTTCTCCCTAGACCATCTTCTCCCACCGATGCCTTCAACTACCTCTACGTTAACGGCGCCTAAGTTTATTTTTTCATTAACGTGTTTCATTCCAACAGACTTACACATGCATATAGCACAGGGCAGTCATCTTCTTTCCCCCTCCCTGGTACCTGGCTATTCCCACCTGGTTGCATTCTGAGGGAGCTTTCCTGTATGCATTTTGCTCCTGTCGTTCCCCTCCACTACCGTCCTTACCCCTCCTTACTCTCTTCCTCTTGACTAATGACAGTCTCCTGTCTACTTCCCTTTTTTTTTTTTTTTTTTTTAGATTCCATGTGTGAGGGAGACCATGCGATATTCGGATACAGCATTGGTCTTTCTCAGTCTAGCTTATTTCACTCAACATGATGATCTCCAGATCCACCATTTTCTTGCAAAGGAAAGACATTCGTTCTGTGTTCAGTGGGCTACATAATACTCTACTGTGGGTACACCGCATCTTCTTCATGCACTCATCTGCTGGGCCTCTAGTCTGGTCCCATACCCTGGCTATTCATAACTGTGCTGCAACAAACATGGGTGTGCGCCAACTAAAATTTCAACAACTGTATTGAATAAAAGGCTGAGAGTGAACATCTTTGCCTCATTCCCAAGGCTCTGAAATTCAAAGCTCTTGCTTAAATCCGTCTCCCTGGGCTGCAGACCCATTTGTCTAGATGACACCTCTATTTGAACATCTCACAGACACCTCAAACGCAACAGGGTCACAGAGTGAATTTCCCCTCAAGCCCGACTCCCTGCTTCAGTGAACAATACTCCACCCCACTGTGCAATTCAGGGACCGGGAAACACTCCTGGTTTCCCGGGAGTCCCGTTGAAGCCTGGGGAACCTGGGGAGCCTGGGGAGCCTGGGGAGCCTGGAGAGCCTGGGGAGCCTGGTCTTCCCAGTCCCGTTAACCACCAAAGCCCGTCACCATCTCCCACTCATGTCTGGACTAGCTCGGTATTTGTGTCACAGTATAGTTGACCCACAGAACCAGAGAACCCGTTCCTCAAGAGAACCCTATAATCCACTCACCTCACCGTGGCCAGTGTGATTTTTGTGAAGTATGAATCTAGTCACAAATTTTGCTTCAAAATCAACAATTTCCCCTACACTTGTGTAACAACCAAAACACTCAGAGCATACGGAGGGGGCAGGGCCCGAAGAGGAAGCCTGGAAAGGCCACAAGGACAGGCAGAGCGAAGGGCAGTGTGTACTACGGCAGGGGCTTGGGGGCCTGGCCTGTCCAGTATGGCAGGCGCTGGCCACATGAGGTTTTTCAATTAAAATAAACTGCAACTAAAAATGTAGTTCTTGCATCACGGGCTATATTTCACTTTATGGCAGCCATAGAGAGCAGCTGCTATAAATCAATGGACAGCACAAAGTAGGCAATGGATTTAACGGCAGAGCACTGTGGCCTGCTGTCTCTGCGTATGTGGTGACCGAGCTGGGGGCAGGTAAGAGGGAGGACGGCAAGGCTGATGCTAGGAGTGTGACCGCTGATGCTGAGGACACGCTTGGGAAAACAAGTAGAGAAACAGGTTTGAGGGAGATAACGGTGTGATAAGTTGAATTTGATACCTTTTAAATTGAAATGTTTAGCAGTCACAAAACAGCAGGAGATAATTACAAATCCATGTTTGCAATTTCAGAGAAAGTTCAGGATGCCACCAAGGTGTAGGTGGCGCATGCTTGGAATTCCCGTACTCCGGAGGCTGAGTTCAAGGCCTGCCTGCGCTACATAGTGAATTCAAGGCCAGCCTGAATTAGAGTGAGATTATCTCAAAAAAAAAACAAAAAACAAAAAACAAAAAACACGAAAGTTTAGGATGGAGATAGATGTCAGGAAACCACCGGTACCATGGAGGAAATTCACGGGAAAGAATACCAGCTTCGGTCTCAACCGAGATGAGCCCAAGTAGGGCTGTAACACGAAGCAGTGCCTGTCTAGACCACAAGGTGGCGCACTTATGGAGGCTCAGAAAGACCGGAGCTTCTGGACCTGCCTGCCGGTTCCCAGACAGCGTTAACCTGGGCACTGCACACGGTACACACCTATCAAAGTATCACACCGAACTCCATAAATATGTACAATTATCACGGGTTGAAATTTTTTTCAATAAAAAAGCGAACCACAATTTAATAAGTATCAGTAAAGGAAAGCTAGGTTTACAATGATCATGTTTATACAGTATTAGGCTTCCTAATAATTCTTAAGTGGTCATATTTTCTTAAATGAGATGTTAAAGCTACTAGTTCATATGCATTTTTTTTGTTTTGTTTTGTTTTTGTTTTTCTCCAGTACCGGGAACCGAACTCACGACCTTGTGCTTGCCAGGCAGGTGCTTTGCCGCTGAGCTAAATCCCCAGCCCCTAGTTCATATGCATTGATACACCCTATCTTTTTCTTAATGGGGTCATTATTCTCTCACATAATTTTTAGTTTCAAATATCTTCCTCTTACATAATTTTTTCCTACTTCAAAATAATTCCTTTGTTTTGTTTTCTGAGACAGGGTCTGCTACGTAGTTCAGGCTGGTCTTAAACTCAACAGGTAGCCCAGGCTGGCCTCAAACTCCTGGCGATCCTCCTGCCTCAGTCTCCAGAGTACTGGGACATAGGTGTGCACCACCAGGTCCAGCAAGAATTGTTTTTATACTCCTAAATTTTACACAAACTTCCAAACAGGAAAACTTACTTGTAGTGACCGCGTTTGTGGTGGTAATGGGCGCTGCTGTAGTCGGAGGCAACTTTTTTGGCCTGAATTTGTAGTGACCAATAAATCCATCTGCTGTTAAACTTAGGTCTGATAAAAACTGAATAAGAAGTTCATTTCTCTCGGATACAATTGGCCTAAAAAACAAAAACATGTTTAAAAAATATATACATGCATACATACATTTAAAGTGTAAGTGGTATCTCTCTAGAAAAATACATATTTTTCTGGCTTTCCATTAATTTTTGACCATAGATTGGTCATTTATTTAAACCTAAAAGCCAAACACTTAAAAAGGAAAAAGTCTTCATCTCCTAAATATTAATGCTGAGAGCTAACGTTTATAGATTCTCACTCAGCTAGGTCCACTCCTCAAATTCCACCTTCATGACCCCTTATCCCCTTTTCATGGAATGAAGCAACTGAGGTTTGAGGATTCAAGCGATTTGCCCCAGACGATGCAGCCAGAATGTGGGGCTCAGCTTTTGAACCCAGAACCCACTGACTTCAGAGGCAGCGGCAGATAATGGAAGCAGTGTAAACTCTCATGCTCCGGCTGGTACGAGATCTTGGGGTTCGTCAAACTCGGGAATAGCGTGACTTCTTTCAAGCCTGCGTGAGGAGCCAGCTGCTGCCTGTGGAGAAGCCACTGAATAAAGCAGAGACAAATCCCCACTCTGTGAATGCCCGCTGGAGAGATTATCTAGGGGATAAAGAGCACCAAGCAGGGTTTAAAGCAACTTCCATTTTATTTTCAATGGGCTTCTAACGCACGTCTGAGACAGACAGATTTCTATTTATAACCTCCCTCCATTGGGAAAACGCTATTAGGAAAAAAGCGAAGTGATTACTGCGTTGATGGTCATGAACACTACTGCGAAGAGGTCTCACTGCAGGAGCTTGCTGGTCAGCTGGTCACGCATTTAGTAAAGATGATAACTGAAGCCCAAGGGCTCCTTAAACCCAGGGGGAATAATTATATTATGCAAGATAGGAGTTTTATTTAAATTTCGCTGTTGTTACATAAACAAAGGTAGAAAATGCTCTTTGGTCAATTCTATTTTAAAATGAATTCAGAAGTAGACAAAGATTAAATAAGACACTGAAGTAATGACTAAACTTTTCTGAGGCATCTTCTCAGGCTAATCTCTTCTCAGGCATCAGGGACAAAAATAATGAGGCAACTTTTTGGGGTTGGGGGAATGAGTACTGAACCTAGGATGTTCCACTGAGCTACATCTACAGACTTTATTATTATTATTTTGAACCAGTGCCCATGAAGTCAGTAAGTGTGATCTTCCTGCTTCAGCCTCCCAGAGTACTAGAATTACAGGTGTGCGCTGCCAGGCTGGGCTTGGGGAAACACTTTTATTTACTTTTTGCTCCTCTTACCAGGCATCATGAGTAGGGAGAGCTGTACTTGAACCGAGCAATTAGCGAAAGTGCAGGGCATCTTCTATTTTGAATAATAAACCTCTGAGTCAAAGGACTGGAAAAACATAATGGCAAGTTTTATGCCCTCCATAAACAGAGATCATTTAAATAATGCTCCTGACACTTTTAACCTTTAACAGAAATATTGTAACTTGCTTTTATTATGTTAAAGTAAAAATAATGCACTGAACATGCTTCTCATGAATGAACAAAACCTGCTAATATTGTTGAAATAATAAAATTACAAAAAGCACTTATTATAAGCAGCAGTGGAGATCCTAAGACCCAATCAGGTTAGTATGCTACATAAGATGTTGTAATTATAGTGACCATCTGCTGCCTTTTCTGTGAACTGTTCTTGGAGATTTTACATCAGAAACTGAATTTTTTCAAGAAGAATGCTTTAGCAACAGAAAGTTAGGGTGCCCATGAGCTTTGTATAAATGTGCAAAATCACAGTGCGACAAGGTACTGAGGGCTACCTGCGGCTTGTGCATATTAATGTGACAAGTTACTAGGAATGAAGAAGTGAAATCTCACCCTAACCCTAACCCTAACCCTAACCCTAACCCCAACCCTAACCCCAACCCTAACCCCAGCCCTAGCCCTAACCCCAGCCCTAGCCCTAGCCCTAGCCCTAGCCCTAGCCCTCTGTACACCCTCACCCACTCCACTCTGCCTGGCGGATCCAGGTACAGACCAAGATGCCGTGTCTGTGGCTCAGAGCAGCTACTGCAGCTGTCTCTGGCCGATCATCCCAGTCTCTCTCTCTTTCAGTCACCACAGCCGACCAACCTATGCTACTCACCTTACCACAGAAATCTTTCTTGGTCCACATCCTTCCCTTCATCTCTACCACCTTCTCTAAGTCCTCAGCTTTACCTGGCCCAGGACACCAGCCTTTAACTAGCCTCCCTGCTCATCCCATCCAGGATGGGGGTTCGAGGGCCAGAGGGCATGTTACACCCCTCACTGCCACCTATGTGTGCTTGGAGGGGCCCCATCTCTGCAGGGCATGGAACTCAACTCTCTCCTTCTGCTGATCACATGGCAGGACTGGGCCAAAGGACTCCATCCGGGGTATTCCACTACTTTTCCTTGTATTTTAAACATGTATCCTTGCATTCAGGGTACCCTCAGCACACAGCTGAGGTACAGTGTGAATTCAATGAATTTAATTTAATTCAGTGGCATTCACACTGTATTGGAACCAGACACGAGTATGAGG